ACAGTACATTCAGTCGGTCTAGCCACAGCTATGAAAGATTGTGATCGTAAGGCATCGCAAGGTTCACTATATTAATAGTAACAATACTCCACTGCCTTCAAATGTCGGGGGATACTCAGGTTACGATAATATTGCAGACATGTGGAATCAACACTTTAGCTTAGTATTGACTTTAATGAAGAGTAATCGCGATGATAGAATCGTAGATATCTTTCCCGCGATCAATCTGGAGATCTGCACGATATGGTTATTTCAGATATCTCGATGGCTGTTGAAAAATTGCGGATTGGTAAATCTTCTTGGGATGACGGTGGTATTGCTGCAGAACACAACACATGCCAGCGATATGCTCTACTTGGTGTGCCCGCGCCTGGTTTTAATTTGATACAGATTCACTGTTTTCTCTCTGGCGATTTTATGGAAACAATTCTGACTTCCATAGTGAAATCAGGTGACATAACCGACAAGGATAACTACAAGCCTACTGCGACCATTTCCACAGTCTCCTCTAAGATTTTAGAAAGTATTATCTTAAATAATGGGTTTAAGCCTGGGCACTCTACGGACATGTGTATATATGCTATGAAAGAAATTATTAACTACATGTATTATCATTTGTATAATTAGTCCCTCAACTGTGGTATATGCACGCTTTTTAGATGCCACTAAAGCATTTGACCGTGTCAACCATTGGTCCCTGTTTAGATTGTTGATTGACATGCTATATTATTCGCATTCTAATTGTTTGGTGCCATGTTCACCTGTTCACCTTTCGCTGGGGGAAATTCTACTTTGTTTTCTGTTGAAAACTGTGTTTGCCAAGCATTATTTCGCCTTTACTTTACGTGTATATTGATGACCTCAGTGCCTGTTTAAATTCATCTAAAGTGGGCTGTTGCGTGGGCGTTTTTTTATCAACCATCTTATGCATGCCGACGACTTGGATATCCTTAGCCCAGGAATACATGGTTTGTGAACCTTCATCAATGCTTGCTGTGAATATGTGAAGGCTGAGTTTATGTATTTTATTCCTTGGAAGAGTGCTCTTAGAAATAGTGTAATTTTACCCGTTTGACCCAAAGCCAAAAAATGCGCACAAGCATGTTTATTTAAATTATGTCGTTACTGATAATTGTATGTATGGTGACATAAAACGAAAATTCGAGAACTCTAGGGCAGAACCAATATATTGCCTCAACAATTTTCTAGCTGCAGTAATGTTAAAATTACATTGTTCCGAACCTTTTGCTCTAACATGTATTTGGTTTCAACATAGTCATAAAAGTATTTATGATCTCCGTGTTGCATATAATAATGTATTTCGTTTATTTCTGTGCCGGCCCCGAAATTGTAGTGTAAGCAAAGATTCCCATTACATGTTTCATGCACTGAAGTCAAATATGCAATCAGAGAAAGCCTGGAAAACCTTCCGTGTAATAGAGGCATGAAGTTAGCACATGTTAGAGCAAATACAGCATTTAAAAATACAACTGCAAGCAATGATCAGGGTTCCAAGTAGCTAGCAATGGTTTAACAATTACAAATATTTAATGAAACAATACATAAATGTCACAGACCCAGTTATTTAATTATAAAACACTCAAAATAATACATGGAACATCTGCAAACAACTGAATTGATATGTACTCTATGTGGGTACAACTCATCATAAAGTGATTTCGACTTAATCTGATAACTGAAAACTTTCATTAACCCGGGTCCAAAATCCTAGAGTACACAAGTGCAACCAAACTATGTCTCATACATGCTCAAGAAACTGCATCCATAAATCTGAGTAAACCTTGATGTACCCCTCTACATTTTCTACTGAGATTGGTGATGGTACGACCCATCTGTCACTGATTCAAGGTCATGACATCACTAAAAACCGTAGCATTACAATCTAAGCTAATTATTTATTCTGAGCATGCTTAGTTGTTCGCTCAGTGCAGTATGGAGAGGTAATTTTGGATGAAAATCTTGAAAAAGACCCACACAGGATTTTCAGATCTGGAAAAAAAAATTATGTGCTTATTCAACAGAGACTTGTTCATCAACCTGCCAAGTTTCATTGATATCTGCTGCAGAATGTCTAAGAAAATGTTGGAGACATAAAGGGGGTGGATGAAAGGAACCCAGAAATAAGAAAGTCACCTTTCAGGCTATGCCTAAACGGGAACTAATAATTATATACGACTTGACATTTTCAGAGGACAAAAATAAAGCACCAGTTGCATGTGCCTATCTCACATTGATTTCAACAAAAAACTAATCAGGTTTGCGAATTATCCCAGAGAATTTATGTACCATGTTTCATTTGTAGGGAAATCTTTTAAATGGTACTTGAGAAACGAGTGAAAATGCTTAAAAATGTGATAATCATTAATATGCATGGGGATTTTTTAATTCCAAACTAATGTGGTCTGCGCAAAGTCCTCTAGCATATATCTCCCAAGTTTTATTAGAATGTAAAGTACCTGAAACAACGAAAAATTTACTGATTATGCAAATTAGGTAATGAATATTAACCCAAACCGTATCAGCCCTGCATTGTCCCTATGACATCCATGTACCAAGTTTCATTGAACTGTGATGATTAGTATGTGAGATGGAAAAGCCGAAAAATTAATCATTATGCAATGAGATAATTATTATGCATCCAAAAATAATCCGGTTAGTGAATTAGTACAAGATGATCTATGTACAAAGTTTCATAAAATGTAATGATTAGTACTTGAAATATCAGCGGAAAAGCAGAACACATACTAATCATGCAAATTAGGTAATTAATACGCATGGATATTAACCCCAAAATTATCAGATATGTACATTGTCCTATGACATCTATGTACCATGTTTCATTATAATGTGATGATTAGTACTAAAGATACAAGTCGAAACCAATCAAATCTGAGCATTGTCCCAGAGCTATGTACCAAGGTTCATCAAAATCCAATGAGTGGTTATTTAGATATCAGCGGAACAGCTAAAATCAACTAATTATCATGCAAATTAGGTAATTAATATGCAAAGATTTAATACAAAACCTAAGCAAATATGCACATTAACCCAGAACATCAAGTTTCTTCAAAAATCAACCTATGGTTCTTCAGTGGAACGGAGGGACACACACACACACACACACACAGTAACTGCAAAGAATCCCATTGTGTGCTTTGGACACAAGAGTAACAACAAAGTAGAACCAATGTCATACATTTTGTAACATAGAAATGTTTAAAATTAGTAACGTAGGTGAGTATGGCACAGTTGTATTAGATTTACTATAAAATGTACTTTACCCATTTACTAACCCAAACCCCACGCAAACTTGCATTCAAATAAATATAAATTATGAAAAATAGTGAGGGTCGTCACTTGGTACGTCTGTTATTGAATGAAAGTCATCACAACTTTGATTCCAGATATACAAGTATATATATACAATGAAAAATTAATAGCCACCGAAAATAATAAAAATTATTTATTCACTGCTTCACACTCCATAATTTGATAAATTTCAAAAATTTTTCATAAAATACACGCATTAATGATACATTGTCTGTACCAGAAAAACTGTGATACATTGTATATGTAGTTCAGTGAAACAAATCTGAAAGGATGATGTACATACAAACCAAGGGGTGGACCATTAATATTTCAGCTGGGAAGGGGGAAAGTGCATGTCTCAGGATAAAAGGAATTGCCCATTCATATTTCAGTTGGGGGGGGGGATACACTGTCAGGATAAAAAGGATATATTTTAGCAGGGGGATGAGAACTGGTATTGTACTTTTGATGCAGACAATTGTTGCCCCCCCCCCCGAAAAAAATTAAACACTCGTAGGAACTTTGACTGCCAGCATTTCATATCGTGTTCTCTTAGCTATATCCAACATTTTGTTTACACGATGATTCCTATCATACACGACTGAATTGGTAATGGTAATTCACAAAACAATGATTCAAAATACCTCTTCAGTATGTCACAATTCACAAATAGTAATTATTAAAAAATAGTTATTGCAGAAATGTATGTGTGATTCCCATTTTGTCTTGGATTATTCGATTTGATTTGTGATTCAGGTTGCTAAAGGAACATTAAGAGATGGTCAGAAGGTTGGCATTGTCACAAGAGGTTGTATTTCCACACTTTATAACAAAGCTAAGATACAAGTTTAATAACATTATTATAAAAGGCAGTGTTACAAATAATGCAAATACGTAGAAACTTGTAATCAGAAAACAACAAATGTCCAGCATTAAAATATTATATTGCAAGTCTTCACAACTTGTCAGTATCTACAGAAAAAACTATCAACAAATTAATGTTAATTACACTGGTATGGCTATGAAACTTCACACCACACCTAAATTTCATGGATCTTGCAAGAGTTTCTAAAGGTCACACATTCTGGGACTTCATAGCAATAGACATTTGTTTATTGTTTTGAAACAAATGAAACAAATACTGATAAAGTGATTCCTTGATGTGTGACCTTTAGGGATAATTTATATGAATGCTTGCCAAGATGTACACACAATCTCACTTCAATCCAACTCACTTGTATGCAAATATACTCCATTTTGAGCTTGATATGATATATGCATAAATATCACAAAAAATACATGTCATCCTACATTACCAAACAAAATATTTCAATACAAATAAAATAAATAAATATGGATTTGAGGCAGCATACTGTCCTGCTTTCAATACAACATACATGAATCTTTAATTGCAATGCAGAATATTGCAATTTATATTCATTAATGGGACAAGTTAAAAAGAACATAAAAACCTTAATAATGCTGTACATGTATTACTTACCAAAAACAAAGAATTCAAAATATACCCGACTTTCATCATTTCAGAAAAAACAAACAATATTTGGCTAATAAAATTTTGAAAATTGTAAACAATATATACTTTACTTACACATTTGGCAATATAAAAAAAAATTATATGAAAAAACATCTTATCTAATATGGTTGGCAGTGTTCATCAGAATGCTTACTATACATTAAAATTGAATGCTGAGACACAAAACGAAATAGAATTCTTTAAAAACTAAAACACTTTGGCAGTGTAATTTTACAATAAGATTCAAACCAGCTGAAAAAAACAAATCTACATAATTTGCAGGCATAATAATGGCTTGTGAGTTTGGTTAAAAGTTAAGGCAACATATTATCTATTTAAAAACACCAACATAGAAATCACATAGAAATCATCGGTAGCTTGCATAAAACATTCCATCAACACAAAAGGCATCAATATATATGTAATAAAAACAAAATATTATCTTAAAATGTAAGGATAAGTATTGCCTTTTATACACACCCAATATCTGTCAATGGCATAGGAATAAAAATACAAGGTGATTTATAAACTTATCCTTTCAAACAAAGATTCCTTATAGAAATATGGAATGATAAGTGATATGAACTGCAATGTAGTTTTCTCGTATACACAAAGATCAATTATACTCATAAAGGCAGGAATAATTTAGGATGTGTACTTTACATAGTCATTTACAAACAGGCAAACTGCACCATATGGCTATATATTTCTATATTAGCCATTATAATAAAAATGCTGATATATCACATTACTGGTATTGCTGTGAGTAAATATTGGCCTACTAAAGAGAAATGGCATTCTGAATAACCTCACAGAAAACATAGCCTTATCATAATGCCCTGATCCGCTGTAGAACATTTACCATCCCACTGTAACAATCTCACACGCAGACGTTTCTAAATCTCATCAGACATTAGATAAAAGCTGTAGAGTGGATATCATTTACAGGACTCTCACCATCCTCAGCAATCAGATATCTCTGTAGCTCTTCTTCTAATTCCTCTGTATCAGAGTCTTCTATAGCCAGCGGCTCCAATTCAATATTATCTGGTGAGTCTAACTCCATACCTCCTTGCTCTGCAAGAACAATAATGTCTGAGTCAGTATTATCATATGTAGTGGTATTAATCTACTATAAGGATGTAGTCACTTGTGTTTGCATTTGCATCACTGTTGCGTACATCTAACTAAATACCCATGTGATTCAGATCTCATAGGAACTGTTAGAACATGTGTTAAAGGCCACCTTATAGTCTCCAATTGATGCGGATTTTATGCATATAGAATCAACTTGATATGAAGGATTTACCGATGTAGTATGGATGACCTCAGTGATAGTTTTCACTTTACATACTTACTTAACATATGGAGTAAAATATAAAACAAAAACTTAGTTATACAGTTATTATGGATTAAATTGCAAAACCCTAGGCATAAATCTACATATTGTCCACAAGTGAAAACAAACACTGGATGAAATTTTCAAACAATTAGACAGAAACATTGTTACAGTTGCATGGCTTTCCTCCCTAGGGATAATTTCCCTAAGCCCCCCACCCCAGCCATACATTTTGCTTGTCTTCAAGGTGCACATCAATTTGAAATATGTGGCTTTTTTTGTTTTTGCAATTTTACCAGTTATCATGAAAATGGGGAAATGTTTGTTGTCAGACGTCTTAGGGTTAAAACAATGCACTCTTGTGGCGATCCAATAATGGGCGATATATAAATGGCATGATAAATATATAAACCACTGCGAGATATAAATAGCCTATGTTTCGCCCACTGATAAGAAATATTTAGAAAAACGACTTAACCTTCTCAGCACGTTAACATGGCTATAAACATAAAGACAAAGTTGGCTGTTCATTGTTGAACTACTTTCAGCTTATTTCATGTATTTGGCCATGAGAGTAGTTATAATAAAATATCAAGGAGATCTAGGTACACTTTGTAATGTTGATTAGATATTCCTACAAAGATTATCAGTAAAATATTAATCGAAAAAAGCTTGGAAAGAACACCTGTGTGCGAAGGTATTGGAGGTACTAAGTACAAATAAAAAAATTATAAATTGTATTTAATATTACTGTACGAGTAGCACATCTCCAATGGAGATGAAGCAAAAATTACATTTTATTGCATGCAAAATCATAGAAACGTCTTATTTTGACCATAGACTTGTCTTTGTCATTATTTTTAAGCACATGTGCTTCCACAAATGTAATAGAGCAAATACAGCATTCAAGAATATAGCTGCAAGCAATGACCAGTGTGGTTCGAAGGGGCTATGGTATAACAATCATAAATATTTAACAAAATCATGATCATATACATGTATGATGTCTTGATATTTCAATCATATACCTTGTCTGAAAATACAATTATAGTGTAAGTTATAGTGTATCTGCAACAGTACTCAAGATATTAGTTATGCATATTAATGAGGTCACCTGACCATATATAGTCATCCTCCACATCAGTCGTATCTCTTGTCTGATGCACTCATTATAATAGCACTGATTGGATGACCCTATCTGCAGCAGTGCTTAAGACATCATATTTACATGTCCATGTATGGTCATCTGATGTGGTATTCATATTTTATATGTGATGCCTTCAATATTGCACTGGTTGTCATTATCCACAACAGTGCTGGAGATGTGACATGTTAGTAGCATCACTTGTGTAATGTCTTCATTATAGCACAAGTTGCAGGTCTGCATCTGCAACCGTGCTTCAGATGCATGTATTACAGCAATGCACATTTATTAGGTCACATGACCAAATGTATTCAAAATATGTAATTTATATGCATTTCACCCCTGAAATAATCAGTTGTGTGAATTATCCAAGTATGTACCAAGTTTTATTGAAAACCATTTTCGTAAATATTGCTATTATCTATAAGAGAGCATAGTCTCAAGTGTCAAAATATGCCAACCTGCAGGGGGTTATGCATAAATCTTATATACGGTATTAGCAGATACAAGCAAAAAAAAACGTTTTAATGGATTACTTTTAACTTTTTACAAGAGTTCATGTCATGCATTTGCAAAGAGAAAATATTTATTTATAATCCCACAAATATATGATTTATAAATGTTTGGATAATTTTGCCAGACAGGTTACAAAGT